CTTCCCCTTCAAATTTTCGACAGCTGTCTTTATAATCCATCAAATGCCTGCCCTTTTTATGGGGTGCAAATAGAACGTGGATTAGAGTTTTACTCGGTTTTACATCTATCATTTTTGGGCCAGGTCTTCTAATGCATATAGGCAGATGTTTGAACATTACATTTATAACATCATTCACGATCGATCTCCTTTGTAATATAAGTAGACAAATTCTCATTCGAATCAGAGAAAAAACTGTCTTATGATGATTATACAGGGTGAATCAGATGTTTAAAACAAAACTCCATTTTTGTTATAGTATCAATCAAGGTTTTTCAAGGTTGCATTGTTTCGCAAATTGATTCAATGCTGAAAAAAAGGCATGATTGAAAGTTGTTCATTCATTTCGAATTTGTGTGAGAATTTAAATGACAGAGTTCATCAGGTACAGGATAGTGATGAGTGGTGATGAGTTGCCAATAAATATAGGTATAGAACAATTATTGTTGCGAGAAAACACAATCGGTATATTCCCCAGTTTTATGTCCACGCTGTACAGGAAGGCGATCGATTTAGTCCAAGTCATTTGTATTTTCAAAATAAAGCAATTTAGGAACCAGTGAATTATGGTTATTCACTGCTATTATTCACTGGTGTGAAAATGACTATCCGTTTTGCTTGAGGAAATTCATGTAATATGAATATTTTATACAACAGTCGTGTATAATAGTATATTATGTAACAAGTGTTATAGACGTCCTTTTAGTAACGAGTTTTTAGGCACGAGCGGAGCAGAGCGGAGCGAGTGTTCAATAAACGTGTCTCTAGAAGAGTTTATAAACACGTTACATACTATGCTTTTTCTACGAACTCCAAAAATTACATTAAAATACCTGCTATTCCTGCTAACCAACAAAATAATTCGAAAGGAATGGGAATTTAGAACATGATACATGCAACTGCATGCAACCAGCGAGACACGTATAAGTGATATTGGTTGTAGATGTGTCCAGTTAGCGCAGAATAAATAAATTGTTCTCAAATAAGATGGATGCTTCAATTTCACACTTCTTGGAGATATGCAAGTACCAGAACATTCTCTTCGATCTCACTCTCGTCTACATTTCGCATATATTTTTAATGAAGAATTCTGATACAAACGAATATTGTTTGAATAATTCTGATACAAAATTCGAAAATAACAGTTGACAGTTAATACAATTGACAGACCAGACATGTCTCAAATTACTGAAGCTGTGTTTAATGAACTGTATTGCCATGGTAATGAGTTTGAGAAATCGTGTTGCCATGGTAACGTGTTTAATATTTTGAATAAGTCACAGATCGTCAATCCGTGATTAAACCATCATTTAGCGTGGTACATATCCGTACGCTAAATGCCATTTTAGTTATGTGAGTAGAAAAAACCTATTATATCCCATTGTTGTTATTAGATATAGTTATAATGTAGGTATACATAGAACAATTTCAGGAAATCTAGACATATATTGATGATGCCGCGGCAACGTCGTACTGACACAGGTAATTTGTGTTATATCTACGGGGTAATCTATGTAGATGAAGAGTTTGATTTTCCAGTTATGGCAAAACCTATATCAATTCATACATTAATCATTTCACACAGGATGTGTCAGATTACCAACAACGGAACGATTAAAGGATATTGAAAACCTCAATATTTCAACTAATTAGTTTACAAAATATCGCCGATCCAGCTGTGTTGAATAAATTATCTTATAATGGCCGTTCGTATGGCTCAAAAATAGCGATAAACCACAAAAAATCATCGAATTATCGCTTAACTAATTTATATTATCAGAGACAACGCTTGGAGTCATAAACTATGAAGAACTGTTATCGCCTTGTTACTGTTATCAGTGATTACTCGAAGGTCGGAAGGTCATCTAGTAAGACGAAAAAAAGGTCATAATTATTATCTGTGGAATCGTATGAAAAGGACTCAAGACGGTAGACCATATGGCGTTGTCATTGAAACTCGATACTATGTCGTCGAAGCGAGGTAGAAAGGTCGGGAAACAGTGAAATAATAAATTTTTGATGTCACTTTTCGGACCTAAGATAGCGCGCGTGTCTCAGCATTTCGAGTTTTATAATCTTGGGAGAGAAACTTGATATTAGATTAAGCCGTGAGTTTCGTGGGTCGAATTGCCTGTGCGGGCGATAATAAACGATAAGAAACTTTATATAGGTCTTATACAGGGGATGATGCTCAATGGTGAAGAAAATTTCACCAAACTGGATGAACTTCAGTATAAATATCTGAAGAAATAATTCTCTGAAATAAATTCACAAACTCAAAGCCATTTCCACAAATAAAATGAATAACAATGTTGACAACATAAATATGGACTTGGCAACAATTCTCGAATGGGGATCCAATAACCTGGTAGATTTCAATGCAAACAAAACACAAACATGCCTTTTCTCTAGAAAAGCCGATCTCACTGTGCCCAACATAAGCTTGTTAGGAGTAACCATACCTTTGAAGACATCCATTTCGATGCTTGGGATTACTATCAGCAATAACCTTTCTTGGGAAAATCACGTGAGATCAATTGCTAAAAGTGCAACCCAAAAACTTGGTTTTCTGTTTCGGGCCAGGAGCTATTTCACTTCCAGTCAGCTGCTTATGATCTATAAGGCACAGATCCGACCTGTCCTGGAATACTGTTCCCATATTTGGAGTGCAGCACCCAAACATACCCTGAAACTGTTGGATTCTGTTCAAAAAAGGACAATTCGTCTCGTGGGTGATGCCTCGCTCACAAACTCACTCATTTCTCTGATGGGACATCTTAGAAAAGTTGGCGATCTGGCTCTATTTTATAGATGGACGATGTTATGTATAGGGTGTTCCAAATTGCTTGATTTTGTCAGTTTTTCCTTTTTCCAGAACAGCTAGAGGAAAACTGACCAATGGGTCTACAGCTCGACTATTGTGAAACGTCGATTGGTGGAAACCACATTTTGATATCTATAACCGTTTTCGAGATATAGGCGAACACTTACATTTGACCAAGTCCGAAAATATGCGCCATAATATTTTTATTTTTGAATATTTTTATGAACAGAAAAAAACTTGCTACAGACACTTTTCAACATAATGAGGTATACATCTGTCAGAAAAATATATTGCGTATATATCAATTGTTTGTTCTGGAAATAGAAAAATCTGACAAAATCAGTCAATTTGGGACACCCTGTACACTATACACTGTTTTACAACAAACCGAACCAATTTTTTATACGCCTCGATACGTGTTTCGCTAACCTAACTATGTTAGCACCTTCAGGAGAAGATTAGATATGTACAGGGTGAGCCAAATTGGTCACTTTTAAAGGTAAAGTCCTATTCTCCGACTAGATAGAAGAAAACTGATGTTGGTGTCCGAGGGTCGATTCTCATGCAAAACTCAATGGTGAAAACCGCATAGATATCTGTCTTCGTTTCGGAGTTACAAGGTGTTCTTCGAAAATGGGCATTTTTGAAAAATTGTGTATTCTCATGAAAATAACTGCAAAGCATTGAGTTCGTGATAACAATCATTCCTCAGGTAGTGAAATCGGCCTTCCTATATCTTGTTCAAGAATTTAACTTGTTCTTCTTGAAGGAAAAGTTATATATTTCGAAACTAGGTATTTAGTGACTGATTTCAGTGCCTGAGGATCAATTTTCATGACAAACACAATGCTTTGGAAATGTTTTTATGGAAACGAAAAATTTTTGGAAAAAATATGAGTTTCAGCAACTTTTCAAAGATTCATATATTCGAAAAACATCTTGTAACTCTGAAACGAAGATAGATATCAATATGCAGTTTTCACCATTGAGTTAATCATGCGAATGGGCGTGTACACCTTAGTAGAACTTTCAACTCAAACCATGTTTATAATGATCCTTTTATACATAAATAATGATTGACGACATAATTCGATCGAAAAATTAACTGGAATGTTTTATTTTTGGACATAAATAATAGTACCTTCTGAAAACGGACCCTCTTATGACGTAGAAACCTCATCTCGCCATAGTTAAAAGAAAATACCAAAAGCCCGACGGAGATTGGGGCAACTGATATATTAATTCTTCAACTGTGATCTCGCGCTAATTCACTCTGTTAGAAATCATGTATCATTCATCTCTGTCTGGAATAGTCTTGTTTCAGTATTAGGGTTTTGACGTCACATCATCGCCTCGTTTTCAGAGGTCCGAAAAATCGGGGATTTCAATAATTTTTTATAAAACGTAGGGAGCTCACAGCAAGAAACGGTTTGCGGTGGTGAGCTAGTTTGGATGATTTCTATCGAATTATGAAATAAAATTTTTTTGTGATATAAGCCCATTGATCTACAGGCACCTACATCAGTCTTATTCTATCAATAGTACGGGAATAGGACTTTACCTTTAAATGTGTCAAATTTGGTTCCCCTGTACAGCCAAATGCAAACAACATACTATAACCGTCCATGTGCATTTCATTTGTACCTGACCCTATGTTTCTGTCACACTTATATAGCTTATTCTTTGGAAAACAATAGAAAAAAGTGTAAAGGTATACCAATGTTTTTGTGTATATACTTTGTGTAAGTCTGGAACTCGGTCTGGAACATCTTAAATAGATGTGTATAGTTTAAAGTTTCTCGTATGTAGAGAGTACAACAATATCCGATATCAAAAGTTTCCAGAGATATAATTATCAATAATAATGTTTCTCGTATAAATGGTTATTTTAGGTAACTTTTTATAAGTTCAAGGTGACACAAACTCTTGAATTCTCGTTATTTTCTGAAATTGTCAGGCATCAAAACGACCTCGAAAATTAAGCACCATTTATCCTTGAAATTGTCATCTTCACCTCACCCTATGCCATATATTATACACACAGAAAACTAAATGACCCATTGATATTGTGCCGTTCAAAATTGAAACATCCTCTAGGTATTTCTTGCAGAGATTCATGCACCAATTTTTTTTTTAGACAAATGTTCCCTCAAATGAAGTTTCGCGTGTCAGGTCTAGACCTGAAGGCGAAATACATTTTGCTATTGGACATCGTGGCAGCAGACGATTACCGATACAAATTCCACAACAGGTGATTACAATGAGCGAATTTTCTGACGTATCGCAATTGTTTCAGGCGCATGTTTCCTGCTTACAAAGTACGCGTTTCGGGACTAGACAAAAAATCCAAATATATTCTACTAATGGACATCGTTGCAGCAGACGACTGTAGATATAAATTCCATAACAGGTTAGATTCCCTTTCAAAGTCGTTGATTCACTTCTCGGAACTGGATAGGGAATCTCGAATCACGTGGTTGTTCTTGAATCTTCTAAAACAACAAAAACAGTGACCCTTTCTTGAAGAATACGTATTGTCACAAAATTTTGAAGTTACCTTCATTCAAGGATTTAATCTTCCAAATAATCGAAATTGAACAATGTAAAAAAATATAAGATTTCCACGAAATTCTCAGCTACACGACATATTGTATATATCTCGACGTTTGTTAAAGTTTTTTCCCATTTACAGAGTGGGCCTTTGAAAACGAAACAGAGGCTCTGTAGGTCGCCAAAACCGGATTATCAAAAAAAACTGAAACAGGTCAACTACATTTTCGAGGGGACATCTTTCTAAACTATTTTCAGCCCTGCGGCGTTGCCGCTTCTGAAGAAAAGAAGCAACAACTTTGTTATTTCAAATGGAACACCTTGTATTTTATTGCATTCTTAGATTCTCTCCGAAGAGCTGAATTCATCAATGCATCACACTTGGGGTCTAGCTGTAATGGTTTCAGGGATATAAAGTGTTCAAAATCGAGATTTTTCAACTTCACCATTTTTTTGTGTAGAAACTATTCATTATTGGTCAAAACGGCTCTCATGTCCCTATCTCAACTTGTGATTTACTATCTACTGACATTTATTTGAAACAAATACAGGGTGGTTCAAGATTCAGAATTCTGATCACCCTGTATCTGTCCCAATTAAATGTTAGTAGATAGTGAATCACAAGTTGAGATAGGGACATGAAAGTCGTTTTGACCAATAATGATTAGTTTCGACACAAAAAAATGTTAAAGTTGAAAAATCTCGATTTTGAACACTTTATATCCCTGAAACCATTACAGCTAGACCCCAAGTGTGATGCATTGATGAAATCAGATTTTCGGGAAGAATCTGAAAATGCAATAAAATACAAGGTGTTCCATTTGAAATAACAAAGTTGTTGCTTCTTTTCGTTAGCAGCGGCAACGCCGCAGGGCTGAAAATATTGTAGGACGATGTCCCCCTCGAAAATGTAGATGACGTGTTTCAGATTCTTTTCATAATCCGGTTTTGGCGACCTACAGAGCCTCTGTTTCGTTTTCAAAGGCCCACTCTATTATGGACTACTATCAAGTAACAGCCGAGTCAATTCAGAAATTGAATAAACTAAACAATCGACTTCTGACAATCATTGGTCAGTAGGCGATTCCAAAATTGATAAAATATAGTCCACAGTGTGTGTCCCGAATTCGATCCTCGCCATTGGGATTTAGGTATAACTATGAGATATACAGAGTCGGTTAAATCATGAAACTCTCTGCAAATTCAATAGTGATTCAGAATCCGTCAAGAAATCTGGTTTAGCTTCAGTCAATTTTGCGTTATTCAAGAAAACATGAATTTTGTATTTTGGTTTTTGTTGAATATCTCTAAAACTATAAAATGTATGAAAAACGACTTCAACATTTAAATACCTAGAACATGTTAGTAATATTTTGAGGGCAGACAATTTGATGCTGATTTCAAATCTGGAAGAAGAAAAAAATTTGTTGGAGGTCTGATCTCAGAGATTTGACATTTTGAACAAAAACTACAAAAACATCCAGAAGATGACTAGTTTTCGAGATATTCGGGGAAAACGAAAAGAAAAATTCAGTGTTTCTTGAATAACTAAAAAATAACTGAAGCTGGTCTAGTTGTCTCGACGGATTCTGAATCGCGGTTGAATTTGCTCAATCCTGAGTATCTCTCTGATATTCATTTTTTCATCAAACATTCTTTCTCTCTTACTGGTCAAGGTCTTAGGATCGAATTCGTTTGGAAGCACCCTCGTATGATCCCACTGACTAAGTGGGACCAAATTCAGTGATATACACTGCTCGCCAGCAGCCTTGAAATCACCGATATTTAGGAAAATGCGTATCAGGAAAAGCTATGTATCGTATTTTCCTCCGATAAGAACCAATTAAATTAAGCTCTCTCGTGATTAACATGATTCTCGATTGTTTGCCATGAGATTAAAAGTTTCGTACTTGGACTTGAATATTCATCGATAAAAAAATATCAGAAAATTTTATATCGGTATTAATTTGATTTGATTTTATGATTCCATAGCTGCTTGCGAGCAGTGTATACCACTGAAGATTATGAGGGTACTTCCATGGGAAGTGTATTATCGATAATTTCAAATGCAGTATCGATGTTCTTTCGTTAAATAAATAACATTAAAATCAATTGTTTTTTTTGATAGATTCAAGCTCCCAGAATCAGCCACGTTCAGTTCAATATTCCTTATACAGTTTCGAGATTCGTATTAAAAGCTAAATTTCCCGCAAAATCAGCCAAACGCGTTTTTATTACCATATTCAATCAATCAATATACCCTTGCAAAAACATTGCGCCTCGGTATGTATCGAAATAGGTTTATTTGGTTGAATTTGCAGGATCTTTCGCATACGTTCGTTTGTTTTTGTACAAATATTTTGAAAACAGATGCTCGGTGTGTGTTGAAAAAAAGCACGAAGCATGCGTTTGGACGTAGAATATCCATGAAGAAATAACAAAATTGATAACGATGCAACAAAAAAGTGTCTATGATAACATTGAAAATGTGCAAAAAATAGTACTTTATCTAAGGTTGTTCATTATTTTTAGTGTTACGTAATAATCATCATTTCTCGACGTGTATTATGCACTAATTGAGAGTTTTTAGGCTGAAATTAATTGGGGTTGTTACGATAGTTATACTTTGTTTGTTTTCATTCGTGTATGCTTAATATTGTTATTTCTTCACTTGAATATACACATTTGTAAATATATTTTATATGCCATTGTAGGTATCTGGTAGTTTGGTAGTAATAAGTAATTGATGGTCTCGATGTGCATGCTTGAAGATTAAAAAAAATTGCAGAAAGATGAATCGTTCGTGTGTGTGCATGCTCCTAATAATTACGATATTCTGATGATCAGTAATTTATTGAATTTGAATTAGTATACGATGTGGTCATGTGACATCAACCCTTTGAATAAGAAACACGAGTTCTCATTCATAGCAAACTATTGAAAGTTTACTACTCAGTAGTCATACAGTAACAGGTTATTGACTTCACATTTTTGTGTACCTAAACTGATGACTTTCGATGGAAAATTTTAGTTCTTCAACATGTATTTTCTCAAATGTAAATTTTCTCATATGAGAGTTCTGAAATTGGCAAAGCAACTTCTCTATTCAATTTCCCCATAAATTTTCATTATATAGGACCTAATTAACTCCAAATTCAAAATCCTCTTCCTTCCTCTCCGTAATAATTTAACCGCATTCAGAGTATCTACACCAGGAACATCTTTATCTATTAGTTCCTATGAAATAATTCAAGACATCATAATCTTGTTTTAAGAATTAGTTTCAAACATGGTGGTAAGAGGTGATTTTGAAATAACCACTTTAGTAGTTTCAACATTTACTTACTCGTAACTTTCTTGTCAATATATATGGGTGTTTCTTAAGTACGTGTAGAAAATTCAGGAGCATGTTGCTGATGTCAAAATATGAAGAAAAGTTCGTATAAATATATGTCCGAAAGTTATTCGTTACTGAGATACAGAGTGTCAAAGTTGAATTCTTATTTTTGTTTTTTGTTAGTAAATTTCAAAAAAATTGTGATATTCGAATAAAGTTTGGTGTCTAGGGATATTTTTCAATGACAATATCAAATTTTATATTAGTTTACAATAAATTAAATCCAATCTATATTTTTTCGTTGAGTCACTTTAGTTTATACGCGGTGCCAATATAAAGCGAAGATCATCTTCGTCAACGGATCATTGCTGGATGTGACGCTATACGAAATACATCTGGTATAATGGAACGTGTACGTGGGTCTATGAGACGATGAGCAGACGTATGCAAAATGATGCAAGGTCGCCACTTCGAACTATTACTTCAATAAATTCCCTTAACTTACTGTTTTAGTATTAATTTGGTCTTGATTACTGTTATTATTATTATTATTATTATTATTTAATTGTAATAACACACGATTCCTATTTTAAAATGCAATTAAGGAAAAATAATTTCCCCTACTTACTAAATCAATTTTGAATTCCAACTTCTTCATTCCAAATCATTTGCATTGATTATTTCAAATCCCAATAACTCGAAAACAGATGCTCGCAGTGACCTCTACCAAGAATATATTTTTCACAGGTAAGTGTTCTAGAAAACTATTTTTCCACTATAAAACATGATACAGGTACGCATAAAAAAGTTATGACCATTCAAAAGTCTCAAAAGACATGTAGGTGGCGCCACCCCCACGGAAAAGACAAACTAACATAAAATTTGATATTGTCATTGAAAAATGCCCGTAGATACCAAACTTCATTCGAATATCATAATTATTTTGAAATTTATCAACAAAGAACAAAAATAAGTATTCAACTTTGACACTCTGTATCTCGAATAACTTTCGGACATATATTTATACGAACCTTTCTTCTTATTTTGACGTCAGCAACATGCTCCTGAATTTTCAACACGTACCCAAGAAACACCCTGTATAGAGTGTAAGTAATCTATCTATACTTGTTAAGGTTACTTCCAATATTTTGTTAAGATTTTCACTCTTTCTGACAAAACTCTCATATGTTAGTGAATTTTTCATATTCAAGTAGGTATATTTTTGGGGAATGATTTGGTTATTGTATACATATAGTTGTTATTTATTGTTGAATGCATTCATAGTGAGTTGTAGAAGTACAATGATTTTGATGTTGCAGCCGATGGATGGTAGCTGGAAAAGCTGACCCTGAAATGCCCAAGAGGATGTACATCCACCCTGATAGTCCATCGACGGGAGAACAGTGGATGCAGAAAGTTGTCTCTTTCCACAAACTGAAGTTAACCAACAATATATCGGATAAACACGGCTTTGTAAGTTGAAACTTCTTATCTTATTTTTAAAACTTCAGCACATGATGATTAGGTTATTGATATCTCGTATATAACATTCTTATGGGTTGCTACACATTCTACTGAAAGAGTTTAACATAATCTAGACTCTAGAGTACAATTTTCATTTTGCTTCATCTTCAGCTATATTCGGTCTGCTATGCTAAACAACTTCTGTCTCTTAATGTTCTTAAAATAGATTCAGCGTTTACCAAGAAGAATTGCAGAATTTCGATCTATACAGTATTTTTACTCCAGTAACTTTACATATTTTCATAAAGAAACAAGTATTCAGTATTATTCCTTTGGTCTATGAAGTATGATCGTCATGAGCTGGGATATTTTCCCTTTTTGCCATTTCATTGTCTCTGCCATAAAGATGAATAAAAAAAGCGTGTTTAATAGTAAATTATGTAACAAGTGTTATAAAGGTCCTTTTAGTAACGAGTAGTTTAAGCACGAGCGGAGCAGAGCGGAGCGAGTGTTTAATAAACGAGTGTCTAGAAGAGTTTATAAACGCGTTACATACTATGATTTTTCTACGAACTCCGAAAATTACATTAACACACCTGCAATTCCTGCTAACCTACAAAATAATTCGAAAGGAATGGGAATTGAGAACATAATACATGCAACTGCATGCAGCCAGCGAGACACGTATAAGTGATATTGGTTGTAGATGTGTCCAGTCCATTGCTTACTTACCTTTGTTTCACGTTTATTGTCATGCTTAGCGCATAATAAATAAATTGTTCTCAAAGATGGATGCTTCATTTTTACACTTCTTGGAGATATGCAAGTACCAGAACATTCTCTTCGATTTCACTTTCGTCTACTTTTCGCATATATTTTCAATGAAGAATTCTGATACAAACGAATATTGTTTGAATAATTCTGATACAATATTCGAAAATAACAGTTGACAATTAATGCAATTGACAGGCCAGACATGTCTCAAATTACTGAAGCTGTGTTATTTAATGAAATGCGTTGCCATGGTAATGTGTTAAAGAAATCGTGTTGCCATGGTAACGTGTTTAATATTTTGAATAAATCACAGATCGACAATCCGTGCTTAATCGATCATTCAGCGTGGTACATATCCGTACGCTAAATGCCATTTTAGTTATGTGAGTAGAAAATATACATTTTATCTATTCTTTTTGTATTTGTGATTCTTTTGGACAATACCACAACGTAGGTGTTGATCTGCATTTTCTGGAATGATATAGGGGTGTGAAGTCATGGTGAAGTCAATAAGACATCATGTCAAAGTCACTTTTGATCCGAATGAAACATGCTATTTTTTCTGCAACCGGAAGAATTAACTAAAATAAATATGTGAAGTAACCACAAATGTGACTTACTTATTGAAAAATTATTATAATACCCTTATTATAATAATATAGGTAAGTAGATAGAAGCAAGGCCTCAGACTACTTTACATTAGAATATTGGTGGACAATGACTTTACTTTGTTATAATTTGTGTTGACATGCATCATCAGATAATACTGGCACGAATTCAATACTATAGTGACACATTTGTGTATTCTATTGAATCGATGAATCGATGAATTCATTTATACCAGGTGTCTCTGCCCTAATATCAAATATCGCGCCAGTGCCACGTAAAGGAAAAATAAGTGGAAAATGTTAGGGTAGTGAGCATATCAACAATAATGATATCGATTTTCATTACTCTCCATATTCCACTGTGCTAGGCTCGGTAATAAAATGAATAATCAAATAAAAATGTACATTATTGTGAGTTTGAAAATCGGTAGAATTATTATAAAATCAGGTGACCTGATAGAATTCGGTGAGATTATACCACGTTTTCTCCAATAGAAACTTTTTAACCGATTTCCTAAACTTTTGTTCAGTTTCTATTTGCTTCAGGTGCAAGGGCAGATTGATTGAGAAAAACTTCTTGCCTTCGTAAATTATAAAATTCTTGGTAAGAGTTGACGTGGGACTAGGCAGTTCAATGTTATGGAAAGAGCTGCTTTTATTATGTGTCGACTCATGTCTGAATTCTTTAAACTTTTTTCCAAAATGAAAATGCATGCCGGTATCAGTATTCTATGAACCAAAAATAAAGTTCTACATGAATCCCTCGAATCGGCTTTGCACATACATCATAGTGCTCTTTTTTGGAGAATACAAACTCTATCGAATAAGTTTGAGCACATGCCCCAGAAGCAAATACCATAGCGTAGGTGCGATTCAAGACGCTAGCTTTCTAGTTCAGTTTAAAATGTACCCTTCAAATTCTAGTTTGGCGTCAATATTCAATCCCAAGAATTTATGTGAAGCTTTGATGCTAAGACAGTCATTATCAAGAAAAACATTGTTGATAACGCTCTTAAAAATGATTATACCTGTCTTATAGAGGTGTTGAAAGACAATAAGTTGGCGTCGCACCATTTTTTAACTTTGTTCTGGTCCTCATTGATGATGTCTTCTAAAATTACGTAATCAGTACCATGCCAGAGGATGGTCGTATCGTCTGGCAAATATTATATATATTGCCCATGTATTTCGACAAGTGTTAAGTCATTCACATATAATAAAAATAGCATTGGTCCCAGTACAGAGCCTTGCGGTACTCCATGTTTGAGAGCCAGATGCTTCGAGCTCACATTTTCGATGATCGGCCATCAGATAAGATTGAAACCAGAGTGATGCTACATCTCTGAAGCCATATATAGGTGTGTTACTTTTAAAGTAGTATTCTGTGATCCACATAGTCAAAGGCCTTTGAAAGATCACAGAATGGTGCTGCAGCTACTTCCCCATCATTCAACCTAAGATACAGACTCTCAAGAAATGCAAATATAGCTAATGTGTATACACTTCTCATCAAAATCAATGCACCATCAAAAAGTATCCAAAAGATTGGGATACATTTTCGTGAAAACTTTTGGTAACTTTTTGGTTGTTTGTTAATTTCTTGGGGAAGTGTATTATTATTATTATTATATTATAAAAATGGTTGGCTTGACAAGAAACCATGATAATGGAAAACGAGCTTTTTTATTAACGAATCTGTGGATATAAATAGATTGTTTCCGGAAATAGCTAAAGATAAAATATTTATTTCAATTCAGATTGAATCTGTGTGATTGGTCTACCAGCTGTACATAACACGAGTGTCCGGTATTCCTGAGAAATATTTCTTTATCTCAAATATATGAACACAATCTGGGTTCGAGGATGAGGACTTCTTTATGGACGTCATCTCAACATGCACCTCATTTGGGAATCTTCAGTGACGAAGAGATGTTTTTACTATCGCCACCGGTGGTCTTTGGTAATTAAAGAGTATATTAAGGTCCTAAAACCAAAATACCTCACTAATTGCGCCGACTTCATCGATTTTCGAAAATGATACCGTTTTATTGTGCCGAGATATCGTAAAATTGTGTCAAGCCAGACGGTAATCTTATTATTATGGAGTCTTTAGTACGTTCGATGAGAGTCGAACTAAATTGAAATTATAATTTTAGTAGCGGAGCTTAGATGAGGGTAGACATAAAATCAGGTGATAAGTCTTTTATTGCTTTCAGCATCGCAATTTATATCTACATTCTTCGTGAAATTCTCATGCCTCTTCATTCAAGATGGGATATAAGTGATTTTTCAATTGATGAGCCTAGTGGTCGATTCCATCACTCCAGAAAGTAAAACTGGTTTATATACAGGGTGTATCTGAATAACATCGAAAAAATTCAAGGGGTGTATCTTTGTGATATTTTAGGAACTTTAGGAGTCCTAACTTGCTTCGTTCTCGAGATACAGGGTATTAATATTTCAATGAAAAATCATTTTTCTATTCATTTCTCAATTGTCTTTTCGTCAATTTGAATTAAACGGTGTGGTTTTGTTAATAGTAGTATGGATCTTCTTCTAGTGAAATTAGATTCGAAATAATGTTTCCAGTGGCGTCACAGTGGGTAAATTCTACGATATTCCTGGTGAATTGTACACCACCGGTTTTTCTGACTTTCATATTGTTATTAGATTGAAATATTGAAATAATAACTTTTTTATTCTATGTGTGCTTTCTGTATCTCGCTTAGTTTTTGAGGAAACAATAAAAATTCGATTTGACTCCAAATTTTAATGTATAGGTATTTTCAAGACTTCCACTGAGATCACTCAATAACCCCAATTAGAATCATTTTAAAATTTTGGGGCTTTCTCGGTCATCATCCATACTGATTTTGGCACAATGAGACCTTATAAAGGGGGACTAAAAATAAAAACAATTATTACTTGAAACTTCAACATCCTGTATCTCAAAAACGGAGCAAGTTAGGATACATGTTTATATGAACTTTAATTGCTAGAATGTCACAAGAAAACACCCCTTGAATTTTTTCGGTGTTATTTAGATACACCCTGTATATCACCTCATGTTATGTATTAATGGTGCGTATTATGAGGTGAAGGAATATAGAGAGATAGGGACTATTTTTTTCAAAAGTTTCACGCAATCTCATTTTCTTATTCCTATGACTAGAAAAAAATTGAATTTCAATGAGAAATAACGCGTATAATAGGTTTTTTTTTTCAGTTTTGATAGAAATGCATACAAGAATTATCATTATTTTTATCATCTTCAGTAAGTACCTTATTATTTCGGCAGTTTCTGTATAAGAAAAATCATTCGATGGGATTTTATGACACAGCATATAAAATTAGAGAGTAATCTAATAATAAACTACGTGTTATAACCTATCTTATATTATGATATAGAATACAGAATGTCAAATACTTCATTATATTTTTCATCTTTTGGGGCGCACGAAAGGGAATAATTCCTTTGGCGAAGAATTCTAATATCGAATATACATGATACATAATAACAAGATACATTATATTTCGAGCAGAATGTTCAGGAATGAACCCAGATAGCGTATTATCGTGCCAAAGGTTCAAGACTTTGATATATCAAAATTGCAATGAGAAAAATAAGACGGGATT